TCATTATTATATGTATGGTATTTATGTTCAGAAACATTTGACATATAGGTAAGCCTCTATGGGTTAGCAGTTCTCATTTTGTTTAAGTCAACATACAGGGCATAACCTTAGCATAGGGCACATATGGCAGTTATAAGGCCAAGAGAGACAACTCTATTAGTGGGCTGTCAGAGCATTGAGGAAACCTACGTCCCCTTCCTGAAGGGTAGGGGTTGCGCAGCTCGCTCTCAGCCTCGGCCGAATTTTGGACATAAAATTTATCTAAAACATATTGCCATGTGTGGGGCCCTTTTTCCCTCCATCTTTGCTGAAATGTAAATTATATCTTTAAGCTTGAAAATTATATAACATGCATGGTTGTCATTCATAGATTTATATCTAACTCTCAGTATTTTTCATTCGTACTTTGAACATTAATCAAAGTGCAAATGTCAATAAAATGACATTTTCAACCTACATCTATTTGATTTTGTTTTGTGTACGATAACAAATTTTGACAGCAAACTAGCCTCGGCGACTCCTCTCAATTCATGCACTCATAAATTCACTTTAAGGTGCATTTTCGGGGCTCATATGATTGAATGTGTTGGTAATAAATACATTAAATGTATGACTACACATATTAATTGACAAAGTTCAAAGGTATGAATAAAAAAAAATTATTGGTTTTGTGGACAGGTTGGATTGAAAATCGGACAGGTCAAATTTATGATCACCTGTCCGAAGGACAGGTGCTCATAAAAGTTAGTGTCTAGCCCTGTATAATATCCGGGGACGGTGTCGCCTCTCTGATCCTCTAGTCTACTTTTGTATTTGTTGTTTTCATATAGCATTTTCAGAGCTTGCTTGGGAACAAAGCACTATTACTAGTATATATATATATATATATATATATATATATATATATAATCCATAGAATACTCATATTTCATCATTTTAGTGAGACAGCTTTCTATACTCAAACAGATCAAACAGCAAAAAGTGATAGTAAAGTACATTTTGAAATGTGTCTGATATATTTACAGACTTTACTTATTACTGGATAGACGCAATCCATACTTATGCGCAACAGCAAAACATGAGTGAAGATGGGGTATCTTCCCCCCGAATAATCATTGCTTGCACACATAAAGACAAATACCTGGAAAATGTTCCCAAAGAAAAGGTAGGCATTAGTACTGAAACAAACAAAAATAATTATAATTATAAATTAATTAATTAAATTAAACTGTTTGTTCTTAAAAAATAGTTGACAGTTGACTGATAAAATATGTGATTGAAGCTTGCTTGCAGTGTGTTGATAAACTGTTTCTCCCATTCTCTTACAGCATGAAGAAGAAATAAATGCATACTTTGATAAATTGCGGCAGCATATACAACAGAAGAGAAGTGGTGTGCATGTTGATCCTCGTTTCTTTGCAATTGACAACACATGTCAAGATGAAGATCAAGAAATATCTGATCTCCGTCGATATGTTATGAAAATTGCTGAAAGCCAAAAATCTTGGGGAGAAAAGAATCCAATAAGATGGATTAGGTTAGAAGAAGATCTTCAGCTGCGACGAGCACCCGAGAAACGAGGAAAAAGGTGGATAAGGTATGAGGAGCTGCAAAATTTAGCTCTTAAAGTTGGAATGCAGGATGCCAATGAGCTGAAGTCATTCCTCCAGTTCCATCATGACATTGGAGATCTTATGCACTTTCAGACAGACGATCTCTCAGACACTGTCATTTTGAATCCATCATGGCTGATAGACGCATTCAGGTCTATTATAGCAGTTGATAAACACCATGTCAAAGCCAAAGGGACTCCCTATTGGTCTGCATTAAAGAGGGGCATCTTAGATGAAAGACTTTTGGATGAGCTATGGGGAGATGACAGTGAATTGAAGTCCATTGTAATCAGTGTTATGGTACAATTCAACATTCTTTTGCAACAGGACGTCAAGCCAGGTACAACAGAAAAGCCTACTTCTCGACAGTTCTATGTGCCCAGCTTACTCCAGTTATGCAAGAATCCAGAATCTGGGGTTGGCAGTGAAGGAACACTATTTATACAAGGGAAAGAAAACTTTATGCCACATGTGCTTTTCAGTCGGCTTACAGTGAAATTAGTTCAAAATGGCACATCTTCTGGTAGGAAAGGATTAAGAAGAAGAGGTGACTTTTTTCTCTTTCAAAATGAGTTGTACTACGATTATGCTGTATATGTAATCGATCCACTCAGAAGAGCTCGTTGTGCTTTGAGAAAGTCAACTAAATCCTCTTCCATCGAACTGATTCCCTTATATCCCCCAACGACAAAGTTTGACAGAACAATCCGAGGGGCATATGCTAAGTGGAAGAACCATGTTTTGATGCAAATTCATCAAGTTAAGCAGACCATCTGCCCACATTTGCAGCTGGAATGGTGTGTCAGAAATCCAAGAAAGCCAAAGGTCAGAGAGGAGCTGATGGCAATAGATCCTAAGGAGTCTGATCTCACAGCATGTGGGCTACCTGAGGATTCAGTGTACAGACTATGGTTTATGCCAGACTCGAGTGAGAAGGTAAGTCATGTAAATATGTAATGGAAGTGTGGCTCAGTTATAACTTGTACATAAATAGTAAATGTATCTTTGTGAAATACATTTATTTTGTAAATAAATAAATAAATAATCTAAATATCTGATCACTGGGTTTCTTTTATTCAACAGGAGCATGGTGTTACCCCACCCGCCACGACATTACCAAGTGATACTGGAGGTATATTATCAAAGAACTTTACATACTCGTAAAATATATATTAAAAAAAAGAAAGTATTATTAAGATATTTTTTTTCTGTATCAGTTTGATGTTCCTTGAAAATTCCTTGATACCTTGTTTTATTACAGTTGGATTTTCTGATGTGTAATTCCATTTGTTTGTTGTTTTTCTTCCAGTTTGCTGTATTTCTATGTACAGACACAAAATTAATTTTTTTTCCATTTTCATTTTCGCTATCTCCTATGCCATTGATGTGAAGACGTTGATAGTCCTAACATCAGGGATATGCAGGGGCAATTAGGATTTTCAATACACTTGGGGGTTGGGTTGTCCCTGAGGGTGGTTTATACTATTTTTTTTCACATTGTAATTTATTTTATAATTGTCCAAGAAAATAGCAGTGAGGAAGTTGACATATTAATATAATAAATCTATAGGTTTTTGTTCAGCTAGATTACAGTTAAACAATGACCAGGAGAAAGACAGTTCTATTAATTTGCCATTTCCTTCCAAAACATTGTTATAGGAAACAGAGATGGCGGTATGTTACAAGAAGAAAGAATTTTAAAATCACCTACACCACCCCAGACCAGGCACTCTACCTCACAAGGTAGTGGGAAGATTGGGACAGATGATCTCAAAGATACATACCTTAGGAAATTCTCCATCACTCCAGAAGGTGGACATGTTCATCTGAAGGAAGTTGGAGTATTCCTGTTAGTGCCTCCGGAAGCTCTGGCTGAAACTACAGAAATGTTCATTGGTATAAGTTGGAGAGAAGAAGACATGCCACCGCTGCCACCATGTCAGACTAGAGCAAGTCCAGTTGTTGTCTGCGGACCACATGGCCTGACGTTCAGAACACCAGTCTACCTGTCATTTTATCACTGTATATCAGGAACACGCCAGAGAAAGATGGGAAAGATCTGTCCTGAAAATCTAACTAGGAATTCAAGACTGGACAATCCATTTTACGTATGGCAGTCAGAAACTCACTTCAATGCCCCTTGTCAGTGGAAAGTATTGAGCAGTGATTCTGTTGTGTTGACAAACACCAAATGTATCTTAAATGTGAACCAGTTCTGCAAACACAATTTGTCATGTGACAGTAAGCGTCTTTCTGCCTTGGTGTTTGGGTCATTTCAGCCTCGACCTGCCCCCTTGCTGAAACTGATGGTGTGCTGTGTCAATGACACCAGAGATGAGGTCGAGGTGAGGCTTTATTTTAACCTCAAGTGGGTTTCTTTTTTATGTTATGGTTATTTCTGACATATTGACATAATATCTATGCCATGGATGATTACTAATAACTGTTAAAAATGTAATTGCTCCCTGTTTTAAGTGCCTTTATTTAAATTCTTTCAATAAAAATGTGCATTCTTTTTCAATTGGTCATTTTCAAGACATGGCCTAACAAGTCATTTTGTCATCATATCTGTTGCATTTGTTTGTGCAGATTGTTTTTTCATCTTTTCACCTTGATACCTTTGATACCCCTAATAATAATAATGTATGTTGCTGTTGAAACTTAGATATTTTCTGTTGGAATGTTGTAGAATGTGAGAACTAATGCTAAGGAATATTTCCTAATGGAGATGTTAGCTCTGGAAAAGAAGTTTCATTTCTTAACTTGTGAGTACAGTGAGAGTAAAGAAAAGGAGTCCTATGATGTCAGCCTTTTGTTGGAAAGGTTTGATGCAAAGTGGAACATGCATGAAGATTGTCCTAGAAAGGTTGGTATTAATGAGTTATATTTTTATCACCAGCGTTAGCGGTACACATGGTTTTAGTCCCGTCCGGATCATTCTGCCGGCTCCGCCAGACGGCTACCATTACCGCTTCTCCTCCTAGACGGTAAGGGCCCCCGTACCCATCTCTTGGATTTAGGTCACCTATAATCTTAACTCGTTCCACGTAAAATTTGGGCTTTTTCGGTATTGGGGTCTAGGTGTGGCACTCATTGCAATGCACCCTTGTCTGAAAATGGCAAAATTACAAGCTAATTATCTACCCTACGGAAGGAATTATGGGGAAAATTTCTACAGATGGCTTTCCAAAAGTCATATGTGTACATTTCAAATATGCCCTTGGATTTGACCTTTATTAGTACCACCAGCGTGTACGCTGGCGGTACTCATGGTTTTAGTCTCGACCCGTCTCGTACGGCTCCGTAAGCTCCGCCGGCTCCGCCGGCTCCGTGAGCTCCGCCGGCTCCGTTGGCTCCGCAGGGTGTTGTGGGATACAAGTCACCGTTACCGCTTCTCCTCCTAGACCGCAAGGACCTGTGTCCCCATCTCTTGGATTTAGGTCACATATAATCTCAGCTTGAACCCCCTGGTATTTTTGTCTCAGTCGGTGCTTTGGCCTGGGCGTGACGCTCGTTAAAACGCACCCTTGTCAAAATTTTGGAAAATTCAATGCTATATAACTCCCAAACCGAAGGAATTATGGGAAAAATTACTACAGAAGTCTGACCGAAAGTCATATGTGGAGATTCCAAATATGCCCTGAGATTTGACTTTTGACCTTTATTTCAAGGTCAAATGGGCCAAAATTTTCTAAAAATGGGACTTTTCTGCAAAAAAATATTTGTTTGTACCAATTTTCAGAAACTACACAGACCTATGCTCTCATATTATGGTGAGGGGTTACAATCAGGGTCTCCTTTCATCTTTGAGAGTTTGGGGTCAATAGGTGCATTTTCATGGGAGAAGCGGCCATTAGATATGAAACTGAAAACTCAAATTCTGGAAACGTAAATGCCAGAGACCTTTTGAATTTTGCAATTCGTAGGACTTGTCAAGCACAATACTTGAGGTGGTGTCCACGTTTTTGTTTTTCGATACGGTGTAGGCGTTGCTCTATATAAAAAAGTACAACGCAATATTCAGTGGTGAAAATAAAATGTGAATTACTGCAAAATTAGCAGAGATATGCCCATAGTTCCTATTGAACTGGAAGTCATATACTGGCAATCTAACTGTGACCTTGAAATTGACCTTTGACCTACTTTTCATTATGAACTGCACTTTGCAATTTTTCTGATCTTCATATTTCCAAAACTGGCAAAGATACGACCATAGTTACTATTGAA